CCTCACCTCACCTCACCTCACTACAATACCTTCTGGCAGATCTAAAGCTTCTCCTTCAGCAAATCAATAGTATACAGATTCTTCTGTCAACCCCTTTCCTGGCTTGTTAACCAAGTCTTCATTTTTAACCAGCAACACATCTCCATTCTACTCTACTCCTTTTCTCTACTCCCACTCTAAATAGAAACTGAGTCTTAGCTTTAGCCTACTCCCTTCCTTTTCAGCTGTCTATGCTCAGAAGCTGCTGAACCATAGACAATCAATTACTCTGTCTCCAGTAGCCAGCTTCCTCCTGCTCTTGAGCCTCAGTTGATTTTTCAATTGAAGATGTGTCACAGCATGATTTGGTTATATTGAAATAATTAGTAGGTATTTTGAAGTGAAACCTATGCTGATAGTGATGCAAATATTTGCTGCTTCATCAGGAAATGTGACTTGCATAATATGCCCTTGCAAACCCACCTGTAAAAATGTAAATTTTCTTATTCACTGACAAATATAGATGGTGACAGCTGATTACCCCAGAGGAAAACTACTTTAATGCTTCTATGGGATGCAGAAACCCAAATGATAGTGTTCCCTTTTCAGGAAAATTATTTAATAAACAACAATGGATTTATTATGGATATATAGCCAATTTTTTGCTATTTGCTATTTTATTTTTTACTTATTTATTTAAATCGATTTATATGGCTCCCCAGTCTACAAATGTGATCTTGGGTGGCTGACAAAGATGAAAAAATACAATATACATATGTCTATGTTACTGTTATACAAAGCACAGCACTTTTAAATCACCACTAGAGGGCACTTCAACCCATCGTTTACTTTTTATGCCTTTTAAAGACTTGAAACATTTTTTAGAGGATACAATAACTTTTTTTTTCTGAAATGATTTTTGTTTATTCAAATAACTGAATGAAAGTTATTCTATCTCATTCATAAATGCAGCAACTGGGGAAAAAATTCTGTTGAACAGACTGATGCATCAGTATAACATGCTGGTCAACTTGAAGTGTGTTGATTTTCTTTCACACATGTCTAAATATATTTAAAGAAATTTAGAAAGCAAGGCAGTTTGGGCCATTCTGAACTTTATATGCAGAATGTTTTTTCTTCCAAACAGTCTGAAAGTAAAACATGATTTCCTGTGCCATAATTCAGTTTGAAGAGGAAGGTTCTATATTCTTTTAGTATATTTTATTATTGTACTTTTTCTCCTCTTTTACATAAGAATCTAATGGTCCATGACAAGATACTTGGTTTACCTCCTTTGCATCATATTTTGTTGGATGTCAGATTTAAATTTCAACAGGAAAACATCTTCATTTGACTTCTATTGGGGAGTAAATATCTGACCTTTATGAGCATACTGATGTTATGTAGCCAGAAGCAAAAACCTGCAAGTTACTTAGGAAATCTCCATTACAAAGTGAAGCAATATGAACCAAAGGTTAGCTTTGCTTCTTATTCCAGTGTTGTGATAATGCAGTGTCACATGACTAGGTTTGATGTCCTTAAGAGAAGTAGTAACTAGTAGGGAAGCATTGCCTAATCTGGCAAATGGTTGTTTGTTACATTTCTCTGAATGTACTGTCCAACTCATTGGTCAGCAAACACTGAACACATTACTACAAGAAAACAACAATTCTTCTTTCTTTAGAACAAAGCTTCTTTGTGTTGAGCTCAACTCCTGCTGATCACATGGACCAGGATATATTGCTTTCTCAGCAGCAGTATCCCAATCAACTCTTCAACACTGGTTTTCTGGGGTGGAAGGGATGTCTCCCACTGAAACACTAGGTCAGACCATGCTTAGCTTTTGTGTGTGTGTGTGCTGCTATTACTGTGATTTTAAAAATAAATATTAAGAAGCATACCATCCTGCATAAGTACAACTGGAAAAAAATATTTACAAATATAGAGTTGTGGAGGTCAGTTTCATGACACATGTTGCAGCTTAGTTAATGGGCTACAAAGATCAGTAGGAATAAGGAAAATGCTGATGCTATATGCTCATCTGTTGTGTGAAAGGAGTAAGATGGGTAGTCCTCATTTAACGTCCACTAATTCAATGACCATTCAAAGTTACAAAAACACTACATGAGGGGTATTTACAATGGGTCCTTGTAGTTGCCACTGTCACAGTATCCCTGCAGTTGCCATTTGGGCACTTGGCAACCAACTTGCAGTTATGACTTTGCAGCATCCTGCAGTCATGTGATCACCATTTGTGACCTTCACTGCCAGCTTCCAACAAGCAAAGTCAATAGGGAAGCCAGAGGAAGTCACAAATGGTGATCATGTGTCTGTGGGATTTGCCTAACAATGGCAACTGGGACTGCTGGACCTGCCTTTGTAAGTCAGAGTGGTCACGTGACATCGTGCCTTACGACCACATTGTTTAGCAGTGGAGTTCCTGGTCTTAATTACTATCAGTAAGTGAGGATTACCTGTAATTGTGCCTGCTCAGAGGGATCAGCAGGACAATTTTAATGTGTTCAGCAGAGTTGCAGGAGGGAGAAAAGAAGAAAAACCACCAATAATGAAAGGAGGATGAAATGGAAAGGGAACCAAAGAGATAGTGAGCAAGGGCACAGGCAGGATGAACAGGAGGAGCTACAGTGGGGAAAATCTTGGAGGGAAAATAAATTGACAAAAGAAACCTATTAACAG